GGCGGGCGTGATGGTGGCTACAAAGGACGGGTTTCTCCAGGGCTGGACGCGGTGTGCGGAGACTGCAGCCGGCAGAGCCCGGGCTGGGCCTCGGTGAGATGGCATCTGGGGGTGGGCAGCAGCACGGCGAGCCGGGAGCGGCTGTGAAGGCGCTCCCCGGGGTTATTTTTACTCGCCGTGCATCCTCCCTCGCTCCGTGGCACGCATCGCACAGGTTTTCTTGCCGAGCATCTCTCCTTAGAAATGCACCTGTGTGTGTCTTGGGTGTCGGGGTTGGCGTGTTTGTGGGTGCGTGCGTGAAGATGTTCTCTTGCTAACACAGCCCCGCAAGATTCATCCCTTTGTACGTGCAACACATGCCTTTTTCTTACAGCCATTAACTGATGAAATGTGCCGCTTGGGCTGATGCGTAATTTATTCCTACGTTACCAGATTGCCGTCCTTCGGTTTCAGTATGGCTACTCAGGACAGACCTGGATTGTGCATTGGGGCTGGCCTACGGCACTGAATTCTCATTTGTAGCCTGTTTCTATTTTTTTCTGTGAATGTATCTAAAAGGTGCTGAGTATACCTGTAGGCTGGGAACATAGAGAACTATACCTTTTTCGCATTCAATTTCAACTCTTGTAAGGAAATAAATGAATGAGGTGTATTGTTTAAAACATTTGCATTATGATATTGTCCTGTGCATCACTGTAAGATGACATGTTGTAGTCCCATTCTCAATGTCTCTTATTTGCTGGGTCAAATTCTGTGCTGGTGCATATATCACGCCTGGCCTAGTAGTCTGGGTGCCCCATCAGGAGAATATTTTGTCCCTTTTCAGGCAATGGTGGGAGCTTTACTGCTTTCTGCTCTGACTCAGGTTTTGTTTCTATTGATCTGGCCTGCTGCTCTACATACGAATTTCAGATCTAGGCCTGCTGTGCTGTGCGTGCTAGCTGTGCTGGCACTTGACCAGGTTCAGATTGGTGCTTGAGCGAGGGAAATGTCTGGTGATTCTAAGACGTTCTCTGGGAATGGTTATGATATTGGTGAAGTCTGAGAGTGGTTCGCTGCTAATTGTCGAAGAGGGCCTAAGACACGAATGCTGTAGAAGTAGTTCTGGAGCAATCAAAAGACACTGTGGGCACCTCAGTATAAGAAAGACATCAAACTGTGGTGAAAGGTCTCCAGGACACAACTTAGAAGGAACAGCTGAGGTCCCTTGGGCTGCTCCACCTGGAGAAGAGAAGGCTGCGGGGTGCCCTCATCAGTCTGCAGCTGTCTCCAGGGGGGCAGTGGAGGGGCAGGTGCTGGTCTCTGTCCATTGACAGGACACAAGGAAATGAAATGACGCTGCACCCTGGAAGGTTCAGATTGGACTTGAGGGAAAGGTTCTTCACTGGGAGGGGAGTCGGTCCCTGGAACAGGCTCCCCAGGGAAGCGGTCATGGCACCAAGCCTGCTGGAGCTCAAGGAGCGCCTGGACGATGTTCTTAGTCATGTGGTGCACCGTTGGGTAGTGCTGCGAGGAGCAGGGAGTGGGGCTTGATGATCCTGATGGGTCCCTTCCAACTTGAGATATTCTGTGATTCTAATCAAGGTAATGGGGTTGCAGCCAGTTCCACCCTTGCTTCCACAATGAGCAAAATTCCGAGGAGCCAGAAGGAGGAAAGGCTGGAATGTTTCCTTGGGCTCTCCATAGGAGTTGCCTGGTGGAGGTGGCTGCCGGGAGCTGCTGGTGTGATTGACTCCTTGACTGTGTCCCTTTCCCAGAACGGTGGCAGTGTGGTGGGCTGTTGGGATTCTCTGGCTGTCAGCAGAGCTCCTAGCTGAAAGGACAAGGCTGCCAATGACAGATGCTGCAACCTTTCTTGGCTGCTGATCTTGGACTGACTGTTCTGTTAGTGCCTAAGGTAGAGAAGCACGGCCCTCATCTTGGAGAGGGATTTGAGCCAGATATTTCCACAGTGTCTACCCCAAGCCTAACTTCAGACTCTGTGACACTGCAAATGTTGATGTATTGCCTCAGCCTCCCTTCTGATAACCATGTCCCTGTCACTTCTCAGTGGCTTTTGATAATCCCTCTGCTTCCAGAAGCTGTTCCCAGCTAAATAATCTTCTGAATAAGAACTTCTGTATCCTACTTATTAGGAACTGAACATAAGGTACAGCTAAAACTTGGTTGTGTGTTAAGGAGGTGGTTGGCTATTGTAATTTGTAAATGTATCCTGGCTTCTGGTAGACCTTTTATTATCAAGACCTTAATGTAGCTGGAAAGATGCTGCATAATGTCTCTGTCATTACAAAGGATAAGTGACCTCAGGGTATTCAAGTCAGGAAAATGCTGTGAAACATAACTGGCAAAATGATGCCCAGAATAATTTTAGATTTTGAGTTCTAGTCATCCATTTGATAGACAGTTGATGCTGTGGTTTAAAAAGTGTGTAAAAGTAGTCCTCCAACTGTAAAAGAGGTGTGGTGATGGACTCTGCTGTCATAAGGCTAGTGTAACTCAGGTGTAACTTGAGCAGTTGAAATCCAAATAGTCTGTTGATTATAGCTTGTTTTTTCCCCCTCTTCTTTTTAACCAAACTATGGGAGACTGAAGATGCTGGCAACTTGCCTTTCATCACTGAGTCATGGTCATTTTTCATTGTGGTCGATATTTGTGCTTTCTGTTTGCTTTGTGAAGTTGTGAGGCAGCAAAATAGTCTTTACCAGATGTCTGGATTTTGGATCGCTTTCTAGTCAGTCACTCTTTGTATCTTCTGGGTTCCGTCAGATTTCTCTTCAATCTTTGAGCATGGCAGTGCAGTATTTGGGTTGAAAGACTGCAAAACAAATGTTTTCATTTAAAAAACCAATTATTTTACTTGAATTTACAATGGCATGTTTGCATTATGTGTTTCTAGATCAATAGCTTGCTTAAACTCGCACCAGCTGACCTCTTCAAAGTTCCTCTATAAATCTGTATCACTTGAAGATCTGGTCTTTACCAGATGATAACAAATTTATCTTTCCATCCTCAGAGATGGATCCTCTGCTGCCTTCTCTTTAAACTACTACTGCTACTTGTGTGCAATTCCCTGTGTCATCAGCTGTCAGTATCTGAAATCCATGAGGGTAGAAAAATGTAATTTTTGTAATACTTCTAGTTTCTGTATCTTTAAGGTCTATTTGAATTTCTCCTTTAAAATATGAGGACTAGAAAGCTTTGCTCCAGGAGGTGGGGCTCTAAATAGAAAACTCAACAGTGTTTTGGAAGAGTCATGATAAAGCTCTATGGTCTAGCCACACTGAATGCTGTCAAGTTAAATGAACATAAATAGAGCTTCTTTGTAAATGATAGGAAAACAGTGCAGATCACAGTCTGCAGTTTGGATTCTAAAATGGCCAATGAGCTTTAAGGGAAAAACAGTGATATGGAAGCACTTCCGGGAATGCAGGTTTTCAGTTCATCTCGCTAAAATTTATGGTGCTGTGTGGTTTGCTTGCCAGGCATTTGGATCACAGGTGGGTAGCTGAGAAGCTGTCACACTGGAAGCTTTAGGACCTGGGTTTTATCTGGAAGATCACATGTGGAGATCACAGCCAGTTCCCTATGTTAGATAGTCTGAATCAGCTATTGTCAAAGGAGGAGCAAAGGGCTGATGTCTGTGACCATCCACACAGCGCGGTTAAACAAGGAGGAGGCAGACAAATGCAGCGAAGGTTTTTTAGTACACAGCTGCATAATGACATCCTCTGACAAACAGCCACAAATAAGGAATACAGGCGAAGACTGGGTAGACCACAACTGCACGTCCAACTTTGGATGAGATCTAACTCTGTGATAAATGATGAAGCAGACTGATGAACCTGAGAGAATTGTTTAGCTAGAAGAGCTGCTATGGTATACCAGGTCATCTTTTATGTTAAAAATGATAATGCAAAGTATAACATTATCTCAGATTATTTTATCAAAAATAACAAAATGAATTATTTGAATTGACAACAGCTGATGCTAAAATACACGTTCTCTCCTATTTTCACTTTATGCATTCCTCCCATCTCCACCTAGAAGGTAATACCTCATTTACCCTTTAACACCTGTACTGTCAAGATGTTTGTTGAATTTTGTTGAAATTGTATATTACAGTATTCTTTTAAGTGTTTAGGAGAAAGATCTGTTAAACCTTACATTGCAGGGACTGTAAACAAAAGGTCGAAGCAACATGGAAATTAAAACTGAAAAGAAGAAGAAACAGCTGTTGAAAATTGCATTGAGGTCCCAGGTGGTTTAGGGTAATCAATAATGAGTAAGCAAGTAAAGTTGGGAGAAGTGGTGGAGTTAGGGCTTCTAGATTTATTTATTTATTTGTTTGTTTATTTATTTATTTTTTCTGCATGTGTGCTGGCTTGCTAAGCTTCACTAAGTTGATTTTCTTTTAAAATGGATGCAGAAATATTTTTCATTATTAATTTCTATGGTGTATGCAAAATGTTTGAACTCAGCGTTACAGGTGATAGAAATTAATTAGAATCAGTACTGTACTGTTCTGCTTGTATTTGGGGTAGGCTTGGTGTACAAATATTTTAGTGATGAATTTTAAAAAGACTTACAATTGTATTAATACATAATATATTTTTATGAACATTCTTTTATCTTTTTTTCTTGAGGTTCTGTTATTTGTAGGTAAGTCCTCGGGGGGTTTTATGCTGTATTTATTTGTACTTTATATTTAAGGTTCTGCAAGCTGCTCTGTTCTGTCTCTGTGCAAAACGAGATACAGTAATTTTTGGACAATCTGCTTTGATTTAGTACAACCCTTAGTAATGTTCCCTTCTCATCTCCCCTCCCTGATGGGAAATAATAATCTCTTGTAATCAGTCTCAGGTGAAGGAGGAGTAGAGTGTAAGAGGACTGTTGCACTTGAAGAACAGAACATTGAGTAATTTACAGCTGAAAGAACAATTGTGTTGGTCACTATTTGGTAGTTTAAAACGATGCAAAAGGTTGCATTAAGTAATTGGGAAATGCTTTTAAGAATGAACCTGTAAGTTTAGAGTGTGTCCAGTAAGTCTCTCAGAGGCAGGAGTGATAGCTACCGAATGTCCTCGGGTGTCTGGCGGCATGACCGCCCTGGTGGGGTTTGGCCCGTGTCAAAGGTGCTGTGTTAGCAGGTCCCTTTGCAATTGCATCACGTAGTTTTGTAGGTCACAGTGTGACCGACGTGTTGTCGTTTTCTTGGAATATGCAGTTGGTGTTAGTGATCTCTGTGGTGGCTTCTGTTAGGTGAACTCAGTGAAGATGCAAGCATTATGCTTGGAAATTAATTTGAAATTATATACAGTAGTTTAAAGCCTATTTTTAAGATCTCTCTGAAATTACCATATTTTTCTGGTCTCAGATGCACCCTGAATGGAAATCTTTGTGTTTGACACAATATCCTGAATGTCTTATAAGCAAAACCTTTCAATTCTTTTGTACTTTGTCACATCTCAGCTGGGTTTAAGGGGTGGTGGTTCTGCTCACGCCTCTCCAGCTGAGGATCCAGCCTGCTTGCATGGGAGAATGCAGTTCCCCTGATCTACTAGCTGATGCTCTCATTTTGAAAGTAGCACAGCTCAGCTAAAAATCATCCTGTAAATTTCAGGAGTAGTTTTTAAGTAGTAAACTGTAAGGATAAATTCTACGTTTAACATGAGTTTCACTTTATCCTGGTTATTTGTCACGTCCTGCTCTTCCCACTACAAGCAGGGCTACTTCAGTCAGCACACATGGTGGTGTGTTTTCATTTGATTTGTTTTGCTGAGGGGCAGGGAATGACAATTACTTGTCCCTCAGCTGATCAATGCCACTGATTGTAAAGGAGATTTCTAATGTTATCTGGTGGAAGTCCTGGTTTGGACCGTTGTTAAACATCTCTCAGACTCTAGGGGTGTGGAAGGAACTGATTTTTTGGCAACTGATAGAAGGGTAAGAATCACAACAATTCAGAAATGAAGACCACCAACTCTGGTCAGTGTATTTCTAAGTGAATAATCTTGAGTGTTTCTAGTGAACATTGCTTGTAATGTTTATATTTTTTAAAGTATTTTGACTGTAAAAGATGGATAGAAATGGCTAATGGGTTATTAACATACATATTTACATTTCTGCTGAAAAACTGATGTGAAGAGGGAAACTGTAATTCATGTTGGCTTGGTTTTTGCTGAGTTTCCCTGGTAATGGGAACGTACAGGTGATTCTCCCATAAAGTGGGAAGAAAGGGCAAGAGGGATACAGGACATGGGAATGTGTACATGAGGTTCTGCAAGGCATTAATAGTGGTACGATGGGAGAAGAAAATACATATTTTGAAGTTATATTGAACTGCAGGCTGATAAGAAAATGCAAGAGGGTGGTAATCTGGTTGGAAGCAAGGTGTCCAGTAAAGAAAAGAATTCATCGTAGAGATCTATGTTGTTAAGAGTGAATGTGGGAGCTCAGAACGCAGATTACTCTTCTTAATTCTGACATAAAGTTCTACCTTTATTGGTGAGAACTTTATGTAGCAAGACCTGAGCTAAAAATGACAAAAACTTTCAGAAGTTAACTCTCTTACTTTAAATAGAAAAATTACTTAAATATCTGACAGTCTTTAGGAGTGAATGTAAAATATTGTCCTCTGATATCTGTAAGATAATAGATAATCATGGTTATGGCCTTAGAGGAAAGAAAAGGAAGGGTTTAGAGGATAACTGTACGGGGCATAAACTTTCCCTCACTGTTTGTTGTTTTCTTGTTTATATGCATTTCAATTGAATAAAAGGTGGTTTTGCTGGCTTGTTAAAACCAAAATCAGAGAAAGGAGAGCCTGATAGTATAAACTCTGGGAACTGCAGTGTTTCTCTTTCAGGCTGTATGTGTTGTCTCTGGCAGTGGTTGAGTGTGACCCTACTTGCGTAAAATACAAAACCATCTTTTTAGTAGACCAAGAATGGGCCTTGAATAATGCTCAAAGTACAAAACCACTGAAATGTTTTCTTAGATCCCCATCTTGCAATATGTTGGACAGGCTGATAGAGTTCATCCTTTTCCTGACAATCTGCCATTTTTAAATAGTGTGTCTAGTCTGTCTCCATGTACATCTCATGCTCAAAAATACTGATTCTGGAAAATTTCAGTTTCCTTTCAGGGTAGGGTGTGATTTTGTGTTTTCACTGGCAGTGGTGTTCTCAGTGTGCATCATGTTATGGCAACTTCTAAGGAAGTAATTGTATGAAAAAGATACAGATGGTATTTTAGCCATAGAATACTAGAATATTGGTTTAACAAATCTCCTCAGCTTTGCTGCGGATAACAATAATGCTTCTGTCCCCTTTTGACTGTTTCCATGGAGCCGCCAGCAACTTGGATAGAGTTTTTTGGTTGATGTTTTCGAGCAAGGGCCAATGGTAATTTTAGCACGAGTGGCCTAGCAGTGCCAGATTCATCCTGCATTCCTTGTGCAGAGCCCCGGATCTGAGGAGTATTGAGGGTTCAGCTCCGAAGGTATTTTAATATTCCTGAAAATTATTTTGGTATTGATTGAAAATCTAACTACAATACAGTGATTTTTGTGCAGTCAAAAGCAGGGGATGGTTGTTCTGAAAAGCAGTTTATCACCATTTGGTGGAAATAGAACACATATAAACTACTAGAACATGAAATTTGCCATGTTCTGGCTATAAAAAGAAGTATAGAGCAGAATTGTACAAATGCTGCAAATATCTGCAGCAAGCCTGAGCTGAGTTTTTTGATTGATCTTAGGATGCTGAATTATCATGTCAGACTAAAATAATACAAATCATGCTTTTAATCACAGTTTTCATTAATTGTATATTCTGTTATGTCACCTAACACCCACAGCATGGAATGCAATAAATAAGGCTTGAATTTTATTTTGAAACAATGCAAAGCATAGGTGAAACTTGGTGAATAAAAGCCAAAGCAAAGACTCAATTTTGGGTTTATTCAAATCCCACTAGCAAAATGAGAGGCTTTGGAAAGGGAGGGAATTGTGTATGGTCAGTGTTCCCCTCATAGCTAACAGAATTGTTGCAGTGATGGCAACTGGCTTACATGGAAGTGTTATTTCCTTAAAATATGGTTTAAGACCAGATCAGTAAACAGGCGTGAATCCAGTCGAGCTACTGGGATGGAATTTCCATCAGGTAAGCACTGGAACTACTCCTCTAGTTCCAAGGGAGTTTCACCATTTTGTGGGAGTAGAAAATGTCTCTCAATTGTTGCAGATTGTTGGCAGAGATGGAGAAGTAAACAAAGGCCACAAGGATTTGCTGAGGATGAAGAACCCTCACGGTGGTATTTATATTAGTTTTCTTAATTTGTATTAAGAACCTGCAAATCCAGAGAAGAACTACCAAAGGCCACAGAGTTTTGCTTGCAGAAGTTGTCTTTTTGTCTGATATAGGTATGGGTGTCAATTTGTGTCCCTGAACTGCCACCAAACCTCTCTAATTGAAAGGCAGAACAGCTTGATTTGGGATTTTTACTTGCTGTGTTCTGAAGTTCTGGTTCTAGAGGCAGCATTGTGATCTAGAACAAGGGTTCTTGGATCAACAGTCTTGATTTGGAAACACCACCACCCCCCCCACCCCCGATGCTCGGGTTACCTAGTCTGAATCCCAGAACACTTTTCTGGTTCCAAATTAGCATGTTAATGGTTATCTTGGCAAGAGTTGAAATACTGGTTCTGGGCCTCCAGGAAAACAAATTTGGATTAGAGTTTCTGCCAGTTCACATAGCTAAACCCTCTTCACAGAGGAACAAATGTCACCCTTGAGCAGAGCCACGTGGCCGATAGAAGGGCTTTGGGAGGAGCATGCCTGTGACTTGTGGTCCCGGTCTGCTCTTGCCCTCAGAAA